GCCGCCTGCAGGCCAGGGCCGCCCGCCGGGGCTACCTCACCACCGTCCTGCACGTCTTCCACCACCTGGTCCCCGGCTTCCTGGTGAAAATGAGTGGAGACCTGCTGGACATGGTGAGCCGCCCTCCCTATATCTTAGCGTGTCCTTGTGCAAACCGAGGGTCACAGCTCACTGATGACTTCAGCTCAGGTGCAGATGCTGGTGAACCTGGCCATAACCCAGAGTTCCCTCCATCTTCACCCGAGAAGGATCCCAAGCCTGGTCTGGTGGTGCATGTCCATAATCCTAGCAGTCTGGGAGGCTGAGGCACGAGAATTGCAAGTTTCAGCCCAGCCTGGGCAACTTAGATCCTGTCTCAAATTATAAAAATGATAAGGATGGGTGCAGACAGGGCCATACAGACATCCGGGGCAGGGTTGGGATCCCGCGGAGGGGGTTGAGGGGCGTTGGAGCAAAGTCTGCTGGCTTTTACAGGCCCTTCGGCTGCCACACGTGGAGTACATCGAGGAAGACTCCTCCGTCTTCGCCCAGAGTGTCCCGTGGAACCTGGAGCGTGTCCTCCCTGTGCGGTACCAGGCGAAGGAGTACAGCACCCCCAGTGAGCACCCCCCACTGCCCGCCTTGGCTCTGCACCCCAAGACAGACCTGGCGCCCTCCCGTCCCCTCTTCCCGTCCCTCCTGCCTTGTGCAGCCCGCCCTATCTGGCCTCTTGCTCCCTGGAATTCAGGCTTTTCTTCCACTTCCCAGCTATTCCCGCTGCCCGCTCTCCATTCTGGACAGCCTGGCAGGCTGCCCTTATCCGAGGCGACCCATGTGACCCCAGCCCCAACCCAGATCCATCAGACTGTCATGCCAGGTCCCTGCTGGACTTCTGCCCACCCTGTTCCTGTCCTGTGAGCCACCTGTGGAGAGGGCGGGAGGGGGAGATTGGGCAGGGCCCCGCAGGTGACTCTGAGCTGGGAGGGCTGCGGGTGCGCCTGCTCTGGGCCCCGGGCACCGGGCACTGCGCTGAGGTTGAGCCTGGGGTCCTGGGCTCTGTGGTAGGGGGTAGGCTCAGCCACCACCCCTGAGCTAACTGAGTCTGGGGGAGCCCCCTCCCTCTTGGGGCATCTCCTTATCACCTGGACAGTGGGCACAGCACCCTGTCCTTGTCCTCACAGGGTAGCCGTGAGGCTCGAGACAGATCAAGACTCCCGTGGGGGTTTGGGGCCCAGAAGTGGACCATCTCCCCACCCTGGCACCCTGATCCCCACATGCCACAGAGCAAGCCGGAGAGCCGGCTGCTGCCAGGTGGGGCAGGGCACTGGGCAGAGGCACAGACTCCCCATCCAACAGCACAGACACGCTGTGCCCTGAGCTGTTTCCTAGCTCTGCTGCGACAGCACCACAGACTCGCTGGGGGGCACTGCTTTGTGCTCCCTGGTCCTGCAGGCTGAAGGCTGCAGTCGCCTCAAGGCAGCCTCTCCTGGCCTCGGGTCCTCTCTTGCCTTTTTTCCTCCTGGTGGCCAAAGTGTCCCTGGCTTGTAGCCTGTCACTCTCCACTCCTTTGTAAGGACACTCAACACGGGCTTTTGGGCCTCTGGGGACCTAGCAATCCCTAATTTAATGACTCTGGCCAAGACCCTTTGTCCAAGTAAGGGACACGCAGCTCTGGGGTTCAGGGTGTGCACACAGCTTCCTGGGCTGCCTGCCCGACTCACTCCTGCCCTCAGGAGATGCCCCATTGCCCTAAGGGGCATGTGGAGTGGAGGGGATGGAGGTTGGGTGTGGAGCCCCTTCTGGAGTTGTGGGGGGCTTGGCTGGAGGAAGCCCTCCAGGAGCACTGGGCTGTGGTGAGACAGGGTGGGCACCTTGAGGATAGGTGCTGGCCTGGCGCGGCCCGAGAGCAGACCTTGCATTCACGGGGTGACAGATGTGACTTCAGCACTCTTGAGCTGTGTGATCTTGGATAAATAACTGGCTGTCTCTGAGCCTTAGGCTCCTCTACCAGAGGGAGGCAGTGATGGTTTTGGGAAGCTATTGGAGGCCAGAGACCTGTTGTGGTGTCATGGCTAAGCCTGTCTGGTGCACGGTGAGGTGCCGCTCTGGCCTGTCGCCTCTCCTCCATTCAGCAGTGCCGCTCTGATGCTGCTACAAGATCCCATCAGTGGACAGCCCTCCTGGGGTCTCCGCTGGCCTGGCTCACTCCTCCCTCCGTTCTCCGTCCAGGACGCCAGACCTGCGTGGCCACCTGCAAGTTCTCCCTGTCTTCTCCTGTGCACCTCAGCTGTCTTGCCCTGCAGACTGCTTCCTGGGGACCCCACTTCCTGGGGATTCCCACTTCCTGGGGGTTTTCACTTCCTGGGGACTACGCCTGCCGAGGACCCCCACTTCCTGGGAACCCCGCTTCCTGGGGAATCCCATTCACCCCAGGAGAAAGGGTGAGGTGCATGGTGGACTCTTGGTGGGCTCCTTAACCTGCTTACGGAGGAAGTGGCTCCGGGCCCTCCTGGCACCTGTAGAGAGAGCGCCTGGCCTCAGAACTGGCCAGTCCAGAGCCGAGGAACTTCCAGTCTCAGTTTCCTCTCTGTGCAAGCAGCTGGCGGCTCAAGTGGCCCTGCTATTCTCGCTTCATGCTTCCAGCCCTGTTCTGTCTCCCTTGGGCTCGATGAACTGGGAAGGGCTCTAACCAGGCTTGTTTCCCAGTGTGCTGCTGACTCTTCTGAGTGCTCTGTTACTTCTCAGCTGCATTAACGTCCTTGAGTGTCACCCTGGCTCCCTTCCCAGCTTCATCATTTGCTGCTGACATGACCTTGGACAGGTCCTACCCTCTCCATGCTGCCCTGTCCCTGATTGTATTTTTTTGTTTGTTTGTTTTAGTTTTTTTTTTTTTTTTTTTTTTTTTTTTTTTTTTC